TGCACGAGCAAAGTATGGGGCACGAGGTCAAAGGCACTAGAAAAATCAAAATATAGAGCATCAGCCTGACGCTGACTGCAGACAACTGGGGTCATAATATCTCAGAAGGATACCAGATTAGTGGCTGTGGATTTGGATTTGGTGAAGCCATGTTGGTTGGGAAGTTGAAGTTTAATGTAATGCGAAATATGATCGTGAATAATGAATTCAAGGAGCTTAGAGAAGTTGTTCAAAAGGGTAATGGGTCTGTAGTTACTCACATAAGCAGGATTGCCTCTTTTGAATACAAGCACAATAGTCGCTTACTTCCATGCAGTAGGGAATTGCTGCTGAGAGAGGCTCAAGTTAAATATATGCCTAAGTACTGGAATAAAAATTTCCGAACAGCCTTTTATGACAAACCCCGGGATATCATCAGGTCCGACAGATTTAGAGGGTTTTAGTCTCTTAATGGCCTTGTAGACTTCCGCATCAGAAATAGGTGCAAGAAACAGGATTTCAGTAGGTTGCAAAAGAGGAGGAAGGTCTATAGGGTAATGGGTATTATAGAGGGATTGAAAATGTTTGGCAAAGGTATCAGCCACTGCAGTGGGTTCATCTAAGTGTACACCATCACCTTGAAGCTGAATGCAACCTAAAATATGTTTCTTGAAAGAAGACACGTATTTCCAGAGAAACTGATGTTTTGATTTCAGATCGTTGTCTATCGACTTCAGCCTTCGAAGCCTGTCGGTTTTGATAGTGCTTTTAACAAGCTTACGATAGAAAATGAATTTGTCATAATAGTAATCCGTTTGTTTCTTTTTAAAGCGACGGTGAAAGTAATTTTTCTTGCCAATGTAGTACCTTATGGAACGAGAGTACCGGAAAGGGAATTTAGATTTAAGAGTAGGGCAACGATGAATTGCTTCTTCCATGGCAGCTTGAACAGTAGCATTTAGGCTGGCAACTGCATCATCAGCGGAAGTAGCTCTATATACTCCTGACCAATCACGCAGATAAGGTGTTGTAAAGCAGAGTATAATTGCCGGCGGCGAATTTTCGATGGCTGAACTTATAATTAGGATTATAGGTAATATGTGGAAGGTGGACATCAATAATTAAGGGAGGGTGATATGGATCAGGCTTGACCAAATCAGAGTAAGAAGGACCAGGCTTTAGATCGGTGAGATTAGAGAAGACTAAGTCAAGTAAGTTATGGTTGTCAACAGCTACAGCATACTGCCGAAGGCCAAGGAGACATGCGGAGGTGTATATAGCATCCCCTTTAAGTTTAGCGTAGTAGTGACAGTTGGGCAGAGGTGACCCACGCACCCAGTTAAAACCAGGAACATTGAAGTCTCCTAATAAAACAACATGAAAGCTACTGGTGTCAAGCATGTTTTCAAGAAGGTGAAAATAATCAATAATGACTCCCGGTGGAGTGTCAGGAGAGAAATAGTGTTGCCAATAAGCAAATTGTGGCTGTCAACTGTGGGAATCTCAACCCATACACATTCAGAGCAGAGTTCTAAATCATACCTGCGCCTGCAGGAACCCAAGATGGAGGGAATGGCTGTTAAGGCACCACCACCACGAGCTTTGCTGGTGGATACCCGGTCAGACCGGTAAACGGTATATTGCAATCATAGCACGAATCGTTACGCCAAGTCTCAGTCAGATAGATAATGTCAAAATCTGTGGAATAAACATTATCATAAAATTCAACATACTTCGTCCGGAGTCCTCTTACATTTTGATAATATATTCCGAGACAGCTCGCAGACTTAAAACGAGACATGACCAAACCATCCATGCTAGAGTTGTTGTAATCAGCCATGATTAGACGGATGCCGAGCAGCCTCCATCTACCACGTCGTTACCTGCTGGGTTAACGGCAGATTTAACGGAAGCATCAGACACTCCAGCCTCAGATGAGTTGGGGGTTAATACTTGGTCAGGCGCAAACTTACCATAATACGGGGCAATTAAGCATCTTGAAGGCCAGACACCAACGTCATTGATTAGCGAAAATTCATCCTCAGTAACAGTAATATGAAAGGATGCATAAGTGTTAAATTTAGTTCTAAGTCTGGTGCAGACCAACTTTTTAAGGCTTAATTGCTCCTTGAGGGACTTGTGTACATCATCAGCAGTGACCTCGGGGCTAAATCTCGAAACAAAAATTGCTTTCGTCCTTTCCTTCTTCGCAATGACACGCAGGGGTGGAGAATTACAAATCCCAATAAGTGGCTGCCTGCGATGTCTGACAGTGCTGACTGCGGCTATATCTGCAGGGGCGGTTTGGCTTGGGTCTTCATTTTGTACTTGAGAGTTCTAAAGCCTTCAGCATCAGCGGGAGAATTTCCGGTTGCTACAACATCCCTGTATGACAATCCAGCCAAGGTCACGGTAGCAGTACAGCAGGTAGAGTAGAAATAGGCAGGGTCGCGATGTTAGGGGCATTTAACGGTACAAGTTGAGTAGTGACGGTAGTGACCGTGTCCTTGGTTACCGCAGGCGGAAATCATAGTTCACTTGCAGCATAAGGCCCAGGGGCGGCCACAATAAGCCTATGAATGCTATTGATTTCCTATTTCATGGATGCGTTATCATTTTTAAGGTAGCCAACCTCTTCAGTTAACTTGTTGACCATGCCCACTAGGGACTCAATCAAGTGCAGCGTGGATTCACCATTTTGGCAAACAGCTTCGATATGGGTACATACAGTGGAGATCGCGTAATCTGTGTTCAATGAAGGGTGAGGCTTATCATCTTCAGAAGGCAGAGATGTAGATCCAGTTGAGCTGGCCAAATCCTTAGTGTTGCTAGAGCTGAGTGATGTCGCGCATGCATCGTAAGTGAAAGCAGACTCACCCGCCACCGTAACTGTAGGCTGATCGGCCTCACCCAGTTGCACGAACACGGAATGAAATCTTACGTCACATGTACGACAGCGAACAGACATTTCTTTACCATAAAATGGCTTGACATATTAGAACAAGCATCCCGACTGGCCCCCATAGGAGCAGGCTAAGTTCACGCACTGTGTATCACAGAGACAATGTACAGAAGCTTGCAGCTTAAGTTGAAGAGATGTAGCGGGAGCACACAGCACCGCACGTCCGTCCAGTCCGGACGCTCAATCAATAATTATAATAATAATAATAATAATAATAATAGTAGGGCGTCTTGCCTCGGCATTAGTAGTAGATGGCTGAT